ATCAATTTGTATTTATTTATTTTAACATTTTACTAAATAAAACACAATGAAACCTCTTGTCTCCTCAGCTGTGTGTAGCAGGTGGGCACAGCGGGTCCCACCGGCGCCGGGGGTGGCACAGTGCCTGCAGAAAGTCCTCAGCCCCAGGAGAAGTTTTTGTGCTGTGGCTGCAGCTGGAGGCTCGTTTTTCTCGTCTGCCTGAGCAGAAATGAATTTTAGCTCCAAAAGGGGCTGGGCTGGGTGAGGAACATCTCCGCAGGCTCTGACTCAGGGGGTGCTGGTTTACTTCAGTCACCTCCTCACTTGAGGGCAACGTTTTGGGCGAAGGACTGGTTGGACTGGGAAGGATTATCCAAAAGTGATGGCGCACAGCGGAACACCTTCCAAAACTGCAGAGCCAGCGTTTCTGTAGCCATCTAACCATCAGAAGAGGCCTGCTCCATCCCAGCACTGTCTCGAGCAGAATCTCAGAATGGTAGCGATTGGAAAGGACCTCTGGAGATCATCTAGTCCTGCCAGAGCAGGTCCACCCAGAGCAGGTCGCACAGGAACACGTCGAGGTGGGTTTTGAATGCCTCCAGAGAAGGAGACTCCACCACCTCTCTGGGCAGCATCTTCCAGGGCTCTGCCACCTTCGAAGCCAAGAAGTTTTTCCGCATGTTCAGATGGAATTTCCTGTGGTCCAGGTTTGTGCCCTTCTGCTGGCTAGATCTGACCTAAACCTGTGTTGTCACTCATCGCAGCAGCAGAGCGCTGTGCCTGAGCTTTTGGCTGTATGAAACCATGTATGAAACAGCTTTTGGCTGTATTAAACCTGCTGGGGACTGGTGGGGCGGCACCATGCCCAGCCTCACAGCCATCAGCCCTGTCTTTCCAGCCCTTTCCCAAACAAAACCCTCCACAACTTGCTCCTGGCCTCTCCCCACCTCCTGCAGTTGCAAAGCTGGCGGCTCAAGAGGCCCAAAAGCCAGCTTTGACTCCCAACGGGCTTGTTGGACTGGTCCATGGCCTGGGGAACGAGCCCCGACGCCGCCAGAAGAAGAAAACACATCTCCTCTCCTTGGGTGTGATTAAACTGACTCCGTGTCTAAGCCCTGGAGCTCCAGGTTGTGTTTAAGGGGCGCTGGCAGTGGAGGCTTGATCCCACCACATCAGTCAGTGACCACCAGCCCTTTCAACAGCTGGCAGGGGGACTGGTGTCACCCCCACTTGGTGACAGGGGCGTTTCTTTTTGCCTGGTGTTGCTCCCTGCTCCCCCAACCCTCCCACTGTGCCAGCCAGAAAGGGAAAAAGGCTTCAAAGGCAGCGGGCAGAGCAAGCCCAGCGACGCTTTTCCACCCCCATCGCTCTCCTCCTGCTGATTTCCATCCCCCCCACCACCAGGGAACACGTGCAGGTTCGCAGGAAAAGGAATAACCAGGCAGTTCTAACAAGGCCGTGAAAAAAGAATAAAAAAAGCTTTAATTTAAAAATTAAATTAAAAAAAGAGAGAATGAAAGCAAGAGGCGCTTGTGCCCTTTCCGTACCCCGCGCTTCGCGTGGCTCCTCCGCGCTGCTCCCGCTGTGGACGGACGCCCTCGCAGCCCAGAGGAAGGCTGAGGAGACACCAGCAGAGACCACAGCAGCCACTGGCCTGGAGAGCCTCCAGGGCCACCAGCAAAATCATCCGGGAAGAAGAAAAGATTGAAAAAAAAAAAAACCAAACCAAAAACCCCCCAAAAAACAACCCCAAGACACCCTAATCATTGAATTCTTATGAGAAAAGTATTAAATAATTTAAATAGCGTGAGGAAAGCGACGCATCCTCTGTGCTCCAGTGTGTGACAGCGGTGGAAGGGTGCCCTGCCAAGCTGCTCCCAGCGCGGGGATCCCACCACAGCGCTACGGTCTCCTCCAGTGCCAACCACATCCTCCACTGCTGATGGCAACATCTGTGCTGCCCAGAGCTGGAGAGGAGCTGGGTGGTGTCCCCCTCGCCACGAATTTCTCCCCAGCACATGCTGGGCCCCATGGCTTTGCCTCCTGGTGATGGTGCGGTTGGCAACCCCAGGATGGGGCAGGATGGCTACTTCCAGCCGGGAGGCACCGGCCCATTCCAGCAGCTCATGGCTGGGGACAGCAGACAGCCCTTCCTGCCCCTGGTGACTCCCCCAGCACCAGCACTGGGCCAACCCCATTGGAGACTCTGCATCCATACGGATGGGCAGTAACAGTATTTCATCCCATCAACCAGCCCAGCCTTGGTCCTGGCTTGAACCAGGTCTCCACGGCTCCTGGCACTCCCTGGCCCCACCACCCAGGGTGCTGGGAGGCTTCCTCTGAGGTGGGCTCCACAAAGGATGCAAAAAAGATGCTCTGCATCCTTTGTCTCCCCCTCCCCAAAGCCCTGGGAGGGGTGTGGGGAGGAGGGTTGGGACCCGGGACCGCAGAGCAGAGGCAGAGCGGGGTAAGGTCAAGCTCCCGGGCCTGAAGGTGAGGTGAGCTAAGGAAAGCTGAGAATCCAAATCTGCTAAAAACAGGGGAGGGAGGAGACCCGTCCCCCTGTCCCCGGGCAGGGGGAGGTTCCCCTGTAACACGGGAAGGCTGCCACCCCGATAGAACCCCCCTCGACCTGCAGGCACTGCCTCTTCTGGCAGCTGGCACCTTCCCTCTTGGCTGGGGGCATCCCATCCTGGCTGGGCTGGAGAAGCTGGCGATCCTGGCTCCCTCAGGCCAGGCTGCAGCAGTGGGTCGGGGCAGGAGGGAGGACCTCATGCTCCCAGTTTCCCCAGCGTGCTGCTGGCACCCCCGCTGTCCCCCGGCCTCACGGGCTCCTCTCGGCGGTGAGGTATTTGAGGGCAGCAGCCCCATATCGCCGTGACAGGTCCTGGTGGAACTCCTCCCGCAGGGTCTGGAGGCAACCCCGGTACCCGGCGCTCAGGCGAAACTTGGAGATGTCAAAGCTGGGGGCATGGGGCATGTGGATCATGAAGGCGTTGGGCAGGACCAGCAGCTCATATTCCTGGTGGCAAAGCAGCAGCCCCAGCCGTCAGCGTCGGGTTGGTGGTACCAACCCAACACCCAGCACCTCCAGGGTGCCAGGAGGAGCCCCCTCACCCACCTGCGCATCCAGCTCCATGATGTGGGACACCTTGTTCCAGCCGAAGCCCACGAACCTCTGGTCGTACTTGGGGCAGTCTCGCCTCACTACAACGTAAGGCTCGAAGTCTGGCTGCCACGCCACGCGGTACGGCACAGTGGCTGTCCGCCACTTGGCATAGTCAGTTGGGGCATGGCCTTTCGGCCACACGTGGTACCTGTGGGGAAGAGATGGAAATGAGACGGGCAGAGGACACAAGGGTGTCTTCTGAGCCGGCTGTCCCACAGGCCCGAGGCACAAGGGTACAAAACCAGCTTCTGCTGGGTGTGACAACTCCAGTCCCTACCTGAAGGTGTAGAGGGAGCCCATGTCCACCCCGAGGCACAAGGGTAGAAAACCAGCTTCTGCTGGGTGTGACAGCCCTCTCGGGCAGCTCTGGTCCTTACCTGAAGGTGTAGAGGGAGCCCATGTCCAGCATGGAGAGCAGCTCGGCTTTGGATTTGGGGAAGGTCAAGCGGTAGTGCAGGGTCTCGAACGCCGGCACGATGAGAGCTGCCTTCCTCTGGGGCAGCTCCAGCTGCTGGATGGAGTTCCTACGGTGGTGGGTAGGAAGGGTGTGAGTTCTCCCATGCCGGGGGGTCCTCAGCCCCTCCAACCCGCCCACCGCTCCAGAAGGGTATTAATGAATTTGGACGCTTTGCAGCGGTGCAATGCAGGGGGAGGAGGAGGAACGGGGCACCCCTTGCAGCCACGGCTGCTTCCTCATTCTCTGGCACCTGACCAAAGCACAGGCGGGATCCCGAGGTTGGACACAAAACGGTTTCTGCATGTTGAGAACTGCTGCCCAGGGCGTTCCCCTCAAACCCTGCTGCTTGGGGAGCCCAGCAACAGCCGGCTGGAGCCAGCCTCACCTGAGGTAATCGTAGAGGCCATACATAGGCAGGAAGTCAATGTCCGTCAGGAAGACGTATGGCGTCTGCGTGTTGGCCAAGGCCACGTTGCGCAGGAGGTTGATGGGGTAGAACTGCCCCTCCTTGTAGACGATGTGGTAGGCCACGTTGCGGCGGGCGCTCAGCACCTCGGAGGCCTGGGCGTAGCGCAGGAACTGCTGGGCCTCCGCGTCCGACATGTAGAGCGCCAGGCTGATGGGACCTGCCCAGTGTTTGCAGATGGCCTCCAACATCTGTAACCTGCGGAGCAGAGGGCACTGAGTGACAGGGAGCCCTGCTCCATGACACCATCGCCACGCTCAGAGCTCAGTGCACGGGGAAGTAGGAAGACTCTCCCCTTATGAGGAGAGACTGAGAGAGCTGGGACTCTTTAGTCTGGAGAAGAGAAGGCTGAGGGGAGACCTTATCAATGCCTACAAGTATCTCAAGGGAGGGTTGAAGGAGGAGGGAGCCAGACTCTTTTCAGTGGTTCCCAGTGAGAGGACAAGGGGCAGTGGCCACAAGTTGGAACATAAGAGGTTCCACTCAAATATGAGGAGAAACTTCTTCACGGTGAGGGTGACAGAGCCCTGGAACAGGCTGCCCAGGGAGGGTGTGGAGTCCCCTTCCTTGGAGATTTTCAAGACCCGCCTGGATGCAGTCCTGAGTAACATGCTCTAGCTCTAGGCAATCCTGCTTCAGCAGGGGAGTTGGACTCTCTGGATCTCTATGGTCCCTTCCAACTCTAAAATTCAGTGAAATTCAATGAAATTCAGCGAATTGCTGCTCCCAGCTCGGGGTGGGAGGAGGTTCTGGTGAGGAACCTGCATTAGAAATCTCCTGGTAGCTCCCCAGCTGTGGAGCCACCCCAGAAGCACTGGACAGGGGGGGTGACCCTGACCTCCCACCCGACCCACCGGCAAGTACCTGTCCATGGAGAGCTGGGCCACCAGGGTGACATCGGTGGGGTTGGGAAAGGCCAGGAACTCGTACTGCAGGAAGAAGAGGTGGACGCGGTGCTGGGTGAGGTGCTGCCGGCGGAAGTCGTAGCAGGGATCATCCTCGTCCAACTCCTCCAGTGCCCGCTGCAGCTGCAAGGCCAGAAGGGTGAGGTGGGGATCGGGAGCTCCAGGGCGATCTGGGTGGGTTGGAGGCAGCATGGCAATCACCCTCACCTGGTTGCTGGGCGGGCTGGGGAGACTGGCACAGCCAAAGAGCTCCCTGCGCAGCAGGTTCCCGTCGTACTCCAGGAAGGTCAGGTAGAGGTTGCGGAAGAACTCCACGTGCTTGTTCTTCACCCGCAGCTTCTTGGGTGAGTTCCAGTGGATCACCTGAGGGCAGCGGCGTGTCACCCCGTGGAGGGGAAGTCATAGAATCATAGAATGGTTTGGGTTGGAAGGGACTTCAAAGATCATCAAGTTCCAACCCCCCTGCCATGGGCAGGGACACCTCCCACCAGACCATGTTGCTCCAAGCCCCATCCAGCCTGGCCTTGAACCCCTCCAGGGATGGGGCATCCACAACTTCCCTGGGCAACCTGTTCCAGTGTCTCACCACCCTAGTCAGCGGCACCCGGTGCGCCCCACGCTGACTCCGGGGACCTCCATCACCTGCAGTGTCTATCAGGCCTTCCCCAGTCTCAGAGGCAGCAAACCCACCCACCTTGAGATCCGAGACCTCGGTGTAGCACTGCTCCGAGCGGGTGTGATCGGAGAGCTGCACGTTCCAGAAGCAGGGGAGCCGGTACACCAGGGCTGGGTCCTGCTTGATCACGGCATTAAAGATGTCCTAGGAGGGAGAAAGGCCGAGAGCACGGGTGGAGGAAGAAAACAACATGGCCATGCACCACCAGTGCTATGGGAATGCCGAGCAGGGCCCACCACCCTGGAGGAGGGACCGTTACCTGGTCGGCCAGTGAGGTGGAGAGCATGCTCATGAGCTCCCGCTCCGCCGTCAACCGCCACATCTGCTCCCAGCCCAGGCGACGCAGGCGGTCGAGCAGGAGGAGGATCACCCCTGGGTGCCGGGGAGGAGAGCACCGGGTCACCAAGGGAGCACCCGGCCATCGCAGAGCTGGAGCACGGCATCCAGCATGCCTTCGGCCCCCGGGATGTGCCACTTCTCTGTGCCCACCCACACAACCCTGGGATGCTGCAGCAGCCCCCTCGTGCCCACCAGACTCTCCTGCCCCACCTCAGCCTTCCCCAGCCTCCCCGTGCCAAGTGCCACCACAGATGGACGTGCCACCAGGCTGCAGAGCCCACCCCGGCAGCCCACGCTCACCCGTGTTGAAGCCACGTCCCAGGGCCGGCCATGGCTTGTGGTTCTTCCAGAGGTTGCCCAAATACCAGTCGCTTTGGTTCTCCACGAGCCCGATCACCTGCTTGTCTGAGGAAAGGGAGGGAGATGTGGATGCAGCCCATCTCAGAGCAATCCCACCGCAGTGGTGCTGTGGCAGACGGGGACTGCCACCCTGAGCCCACCACCCAGCGGGTCCCGGGGACACCCAGCCCCTCACCAGAAAACTTCCCAAAGACGGCCCAGAGCTCGGCGATGTCGGTGGCGAAGGTGATGTCGGTGTCCAAGACGATGACCTTGGAGAGGTTGGAGGGCAGCGCCTTGGTCAGCGTCAGCTTCATCAGCCCGTAGATGCCGGAGTAGTGCTTGTTGGGGATCCATGACACCTCCGGCTGCAAGGTGACACGGTCTCAGGGCTGGGCACGGCCATGTCCTTCCCCTGCCTGGGCAGGATGGACGGTGCTGTGTGTGCCCAGCACTCCCTGCAGAGGAAGCCAGCAGAGGGGCTGGCCCACCACCACCACCCAGCCCACCGCCTGCCCCCCAACAGAGCCGTGGAGCCATCTGAGCCTGGAGCATCTCCTCCACCTGCACCACCAGAAGGCACACACCCCTCTCCCCAGGCCCCTCGGGCGCTCAATGGCTCTATCTCCTTCTCCTTTGCCCTCACCCTGGTCTGGTACTTCCTCTGGCCACCAGAACAACCCCCACCTGAATCCCAGCATTTCAGTGCTCACTGGGGGACCCCCTGGAGACCCTCCCCACCGCTCCAGCACTAGCCCAGTGCTCCCCTTCTCAGCTGGACCAGCAACACGTCCAGAAAGAGGAGAGCAGGTGAGCAGTGGGCAAAGAGAGACAACAAACGCCCTCCTGCTTGCCCCTCTCTGCTGCTCCCCCCCAGCCCTCCAAGCACTGGGTTGGGACAGGGCAAAGATGAGGTGGGGTGAGTGCCTGCCTTCAAGTCATCGGCGTTGTAGAAGCTGACATGGACGGAGGGCACCATCCAGGACTGGAAGAGCGTCTGGAGGATCTGGTGGGCCACCGAGTCTGTGATGAAGTGAAAGTGGAGGGGGTTCTTCCTGCCAAAGGCAAGCGCAGCAGCACTCAGCACCACGGTGGGAGGAAGAGGACATAGTCCCCATCCCTCCCCATCCCTACCAGGGGACAGACATCAGCTGAGGGGACAGACGGAGAACAATCAGCCATCTGGGGGAAATAAATTCCCCTCTGGCCCTCTAAGCAGTGGCACAGGGGGTAGAGAGAGGCCCTAGAGCCCCTCTCCCACAGCATTGCCCCCCTCAACCCCCCTTGCAGCAGCTCATCCAGGAACCCCAAACCAACGGGTCCCTGGCACGGCACCTCCCCATTACCTGTGGAAGAGGATGGACTTCACCAGGGTGACCACATCCCGGCTCGCGTTGTGCCCGGCGCACACAATGGCAACGTGCAGGAGCTGCCCAGAGATAAACAGTGCCTTTTTGAGACTGGACACCCCCTGACACATCGCAGGGGCCTGTCAGCCCCTCCCTGCACCTCACTATGGGGAGAGACTCCATAACCCAGGGGCTGGTCTTTTTTCAGCAGTGCCCAGTGACAGGACAAGAGGAAATGGCCACAAACTTGAGTATAAGAAGTTCCACCTAAACGTGAGAAGGAACTTCTTTACTGTGAGGGTGGCAGAGCCCTGGAAGAGGCTGCCCAGGGAGGTGGTGGAGTCTCCATCTCTGGCGACATTCAAAACCCGCCTGGACATGTTCCTGTGCAACCTGCTCTGGGTGGACCTGCTCTGGCAGGGGGTTGGACTAGATGATCTCCAGAGGTCCCTTCCAACCCCATCTGATTCTATGGTTCCCATGGGGAAGGAGCCCCAGGGAGAGGTGGGAGTCCCCAGCTCAGAAGTGGGGACCAGGAGTCTGGCTGCCGCTCCTACCTGGTGTCCCTCTATGGAGAAGCAGGCCACCCTCACCCACCACGGAGAGCCAGGATGAAGCCCTGGCACGGCCGGAGCATGGGAATGAGCAGTGCCAGGCAAGGTGGCACACACATCCATGCTCAGCAGGGTCCCACCCAGCAATCCCCATCACCCACCGCGCCGGTGCCATCACCCACCTCACACTTGTGGACCGTCCGCTGCTTGGGGCAGGCCGTGCGGTTGCTCCTCTCGCCCCCGGGGGGTTCCCCGTCTCACCCACCACGGAGAGCCAGGATGAAGCCCTGGCACTGCTGGAGCATGGGAACGAGCAGTGCCAGGCAAGGTGGCACACACATCCATGCTCAGCAGGGTCCCAGCCTCCCCCACCCAGCAATCCCCACCACCCACCGTGCCGGTGCCATCACCCACCTCACACTTGTGGACCGTCCGCTGCTTGGGGCAGGCCGTGCGGTTGCTCCTCTCGCCCCCGGGGGGTTCCCCATCTTCGGTGGAGACCCCCCCCCACCTCGGGCTGCCCTCGCTGCCCTCCGCCTGCGCCTGGCCCAGCTGCAGCCGGAGCTGCTGGTTCTCCTCCTCCACCCGGCGCACCCGGGAGGCCAGCGCCTCCCGCTCCACGTCCCGGCTGGGCTGCTCACCCAGGCAGGGTGGTAGCAGCAGGAAGCGGCCGTCTGCGGAGGAGACACGGGGCACACGATGGGCACGGGCAAGGGCTAAGGCCAGGAGGAGGTCCCTCAGCCAGGAGGGACCGGGTGGGGATGGTGGTGCAGAGCCCCCCCAACAGAGAGGTCCCCGACACCCCCCAGGTGTGCCCAGCCACCACCACCAGCTCTGATGCCCAGGGATGCCCCTGGAAATGCAGCAATACACCCACAGTGACCTGGTGTGGCCACAGAACCAACCACCCCAAGACCTCGCAGCCCCATCTTGCCCACCCTTCTGCTGGGCACCGTCCCTTCAGCCCAAGGAGGAGGAGGAGGAGGAGGAGGAGGAGGACCCAACTCACATTCGAGGCTGCCCACGAAGAAGTAGAGCCAGGAGAGGAGGACGGCCAGGGTCAGCGTGGCCAGCAGCAGCTTCAGCTTCACGCGCCAGGAGCGCAACATGGTGTGCCGGTGGGATGGGGGTGGTGAGGATCAGGTGGGCAGCCCGAGCCCGACTGGTCCCAGCATCCTAGAGCCTGCGAGGGGCAAGGGAGCAGAGAGCGTGGTGGTCACCAGCAGCGCCCCCCATCCAGGTGCCTTGACACCCCCCAGCAGGATGTCCCCCCTCTCTCCTGCTCCCTCCAGGAGGACAGGGGGTGAGCACAGCTTTGAGATGGCCTTCCCTGCTCCAGCAAGAGCCTCTCCCAGCTGGCACCCTCCTGCCCATGCTGGGGCAACTGGGTCCCCCCCGGCGCCTGCCCCAGCATCTTGGGGCCGGGGGGTAGAACCTCAACCATGGGAAGAGGGAAGGAGTCCTCCAAGTGATTTCACTCCAGCTCTGTTCCTTGCTCCTTGCCATCCCGAGGAGCTCCCAAGGGAGGAGTGAGGCTGGAGAGGTCCCCCCCCGAGCCGAGGCGGGTGGCCGGTCACGGGGTGGTTAATGGAGCCTGCCCTTGAGATGGAGCTCAGGTCCCTCCCCCACCGCCTCGGCGGGCCCAAGGGGCCAGGACTGCTCTTGAGAGGCAGCCCCAAGGACACGGCCAGAGCGCAGCCCACGCCGAGCCCCACAGGACACGTTGGCTCTCCCCCAGCCCTCCCACCAGCCAGCTCCGGGGAACTCCCCGCAGCCACCCGTACCGAGGTTCTGCCGGCGGCCAAACGCCTCCCCCTCCGCTCGCCCCTACCTGCCCCGACAAAGTTTGGTGGAAAAACCCCAAACACCGCAGTGAAACTCACTTCCCGGCACTACTGGCCCCGATGGGACACGTTGGGGGAACCCCCTTGCCCCACCATGGTGGGTCCGGCCACACGTGCTGTGCCGCTCTCGGTGCCCGGCGGGCAGAGCACCACGTTCCTCACCTCCCTCCTCGCGCCCAGTCCCAACACGGGGACAGAAAACCCATCTCCAGAGAGCCATCCCCTGAGATCCCAATGATCCAGGTGCCCAGGGCAGGCAAAGACCCCACAAAGACCCCACAAAGAAAGACCAACCTCTCCCCTTTCCTGCTGGAGGCAGACTGAGCCCCTGCCCTCGGCGCAACATCTGGAGGCTCAACAAAAGCTGCCGTGGGGATGAATGGGGCGGATTAGGGTCTGCTCCCCCCCTGCACACACCCTGCCGCACACCATTGATGTGCAGATGCCCATGGGGGCCACCAAGCCAGCGCTTGGAGGGGGTGGGAGCTGAAAACAGTCAGCCTGGGAGGACACCACCTTGGGGCCAGGGTGCAAGAAGGTGGAGGGATGGCTCACCCGGAGCAAGGGATTCAAAACCACAGGCTCAGGATCTGCACAGGCTGGGGCACGGCCACCCCGAGGGGGCACGGCCACCCCAACCCCACTGGGGGATGCAGCCGAGCCCCCCCCGCGGCAGCCAGCACGGCACCTGAGGGCTGCACCCCTTCTTTTTCCTGGTGGAGAAGCGGGTCCTGATGGCACCCCAGCCCCCGGGGGTGAAGCAGGTGGCACCCCAGCCCCCTGGGGTGAAGCAGGACTCAGCAGGGCCCTGATTTTTGGCTCGGCAGAGCAGGCATGGCGGGGAAGAGGGAGGGGGGGCCACGGAGCACACCAGGCCCAGGCACCCCTTCTTCTCCCTCGCTGCGGCCCCAAGCCATGCTGGACCTGGGGAGGTCCCTGCACGATGCCATCAGCCCTTCTCCCTCCCACACAAGCCACCCCACACCCCTCCTCTGCCTGCCCTGGGCATCCCCCAAACTTTGTGCTGAGAGGAAGGGGAAGGCAAGGTGAGGGAGGTCCGCCAGCGTCCCGGGAAGCCAAAAAAGGGATGGGAAGGGAGTTTAGCATGAAAGAAGGAGAGGGAAGGTGGGGGGACACAGCAGCACCTGCTCCCCCTCGCCCCATAGCCCCTCTGGGGCACGGCACTCCATCCCCAGCCTCCACGTGAGCACGCTGTCTGGTGGGGGGGGACAAGATGGGACCAGCAGCAGCCCAGTTGGCCAAGACCAGTGGCACCCAAGGGCTGCATGCCACCCCCCCAACCCTTCCTGCCATCACCTGGCCTCTCGCCTGCCCCCCCCATTTCCTTACCTGCCTTTCTCCTTCTCCTCCTCCTCCCCGGGTGCCTGGCAGCCCACTGCTGCTGCTGCTGCTCCCTCCCAGCTCCGCCGTTCCCCGTCCTCCCTTTACTCCTCCCTTTCAGAT